GCAGAAAAGTGTTATGAAACTGCTTCATAACAATTTACTTTTATAGGAAAATAAGTTAGTTGTTAAAATGTTTCTGTGATAATTTCCTGACTATTTTATAATGGTTTTTTAATTTTATTTCATAAACATTTCTATGGCAAATTTATAAAACACTTTTATTGCTTACAACTGTATTGTGTTCACCGATCAATTAATATAAACAATTAGCATTTTGGAGGTAATTATAAAATACTAATGAAATAAAACTGTTGCAACACCATGAAATTATTAAACAACTTTGCTGGTTGGGAGTTCATTTCGGATTTGATTGCTTCCTCCCTTTCTCTGGAATATTTTCACATGTTTTTGTATAGAGACGGAGTCTATTCGTGGCAAGGTATCTGTTATGCTTTCTGAACTATGAAATCACACTCATTCGAATCGATCGGAAATTACACAAAATTTTGATAATGAAGTTACAAGTCTATTCCTCCCTTGGAAAAAGCTTACTACACAAACAGCCTCTGTTGAGTTTTCTACAGCACCACCACCTGCTGTATGTTTTTAGGGTCGTACTCAAGATTCCTTTTTTTCGCAGATGTTGAAAACAAGTTTGCGCCCATCAGCTCTTTTGTAGAATTCAATGTAATCAAAACCGTTTCGTAACAGGTTCGTATGTAGCTGTTTGCCATGATCAGTTTCCATTGGTTTCTTCATGCCAAAGACGTTGGATTGCGACTCTACAACTTCAAAAATCTGTTTTTCAATTTCAGCCTATAATTTGTTGATTTTGTTATTTTTTCGTTTGATATCCCACATTTCGTGCTAATAAGTACTGCAGTTTCAAAAGTGGAACCCTCATCTTTCCTCTTTCTCTAGAATATTTCTGAGGATTTCTATGAGAGACAGCTGAACGATGATTGTTCATCCTGGATGAGCAAGATGTGAGTTTCCTGACAATCCCATAGATGGCGTCGCTTCAAGAGGAGATATACGTGCATAAAATGATATCGCATCCTTCCAGTAGTTATAGCCTAATTCCAACACATATTGTCAAATAAGTGTGACGAATATATTGGTTTTGGTTTACAGGTACAGAATTCCGAAGACAAAGTTTATTTTCGAGCCAAATGATGGTGTTATGCTTCTAGAACAAAAATTACCTATGTCATGGCACGCATTCAATGAAACACCAAAATTCAAGGTGAGTGAGAATATTGAAAGTTTCGCTGAACAACAGTTTCTTCAAGCAGGAATCTACCCTGCTCACAATTTAATCAGTTGAACGTATTTACAATATTCAGTACATTTCTCTAACGATCGAAGTTATTCCAATGTAATTATTCGAGGCAAGAAGCTTAAAAAAAATTGTATCAAATGAAGATAATCACGAAATTCAAACTCAGCGAATTGATATAAAGGGTGTACCAGTGAATACGAAACGAGGCCAGTTCCTCATAAATGGCATCCGGAAAACAATTTGTTCGGACCCAACGTTTTTTCATTCAGAGGGAACAGTCTTTTGAGCCTATTATCTATGTGGAATTCAGTAAATCGTCTTTCACTTTCATTACTAATTTGTCAGTTTGTAGCTAGCTCGATTTCGATTCCAAAATACCCTTAATGATAGATATAGTTGAGTGTCATTCGCATACATATGTGAATTACAATGTCTTAAAACAGAAACTAGATCACAAGTGTATATGCAAAATAATAAGGGTCCAAGTATAGATCCCTGAGGCACTTCAGATTTAATGATAAATATCTACTGTCAAATTTGGTACAGCCAGTTGACGTGTCAACTAACACGTCAAGGAGTTGACAAGTCAAGAAGAGTACTTCGATCGCGCCACTGAAGATGACTGCCGCAGTTGCAGAGGAACCGTTTGGAGATTATAACCAAAGAAAACCCTGGCAAATCCCAGAAACCAACCAGAACATTGATACCAGCAGTGAAAACCCACATTCTTGCAGAAGTTCCATGAATTTCACCATCTTGTGCACGAAGTAAATGAAGATGACTTTAATAGACGTTTATAATTTCGTCAGTTGATGAGTGAACAGAAAATGAACAACCCGAATTGGCTATTCAATATTGTTTCTTGAAAGAGCTGTTAATCGTCACTGCTGTCGGTATTAGTCTGATAAAAACGCACACTCATTCCTTGAAATTCATATCCAATATCCTAAAAAGCGATTGTATAGATTGGAATTCGTGGCGATCGAGTTGTAGGTCATTTTTACTACCAGAAAATTCTACAGAATGTATTTGCAATGGAAATGAATTGACATTTCAACAGGATGGGTTACGTCTCCTGCTATACTATTACTGTTCGCGGGTATTTGAATACCTTTTCTGGTAGATGGATCGGCCATAGAGGATCAGTTGAGTCGTCCGCAAGGTTACTAGATTTGAATTTGTTAGATTTTCTTGTTGAGTCACTCAAAGACGACAATCTATAAAACTTAACCAGCATCTCTAGATGACTTACGTCAACGGATTATTGACAAATGCACCAACTTTACACCTGAAATGCTTTTAAACGTTCTGGTAGTGGAATATTTGGCAAATTTCCAATTTAACCATCCATCCTTTGTAAGATTGAAACTCAAACAAAGGCTGAATTTTTTTGCGTTTGTTACTAATTACGAAGCGTATTTTCCGGGGTTGGACTAAGGTTGAACTTTATCCCCAGAAATTTATGAATTGATAACGAATTTTTTACCGAATGCGAATTATGACAAATTGGCCTTGTTTCGTTTTCAATGACCCACCCTGTATGTGACAAATTCTGAAATCTGGTATTGTTGATGGAATATTTTTGTTGATTCCGAAATGCTATTCAAACAATATATAACTTCGATTTTGAACTTGTCTATATTGTTTAGTGGAAAAATTGAAGTGAATGAATATTTTATTCGATGGAATGAAACATTTTCAGGAAATCCCGGAAATAAAGAAGATATATGATATTCTGGGTTATTTGGAGGTTGCTCAAATATCATTTTGGAATTTGTATTACGACTACAAACTCTTCACCGACCCTTCGGAATGGATGCCACCCTTCAAGGGTATGAACTGAAATAACAGCCTCTAAGAATTTCTTTGAATACTTTCCCTTTTTCAGGCTACGCTATGTTGGCTGGGTCATCATATTATGTTACGTTTGACAAAACCTATTACGATTTCCGAGGAAAATGCACTTATCTTCTTGCAACTGATTTTATCGATCGCAATTTTACTTTGCTCGCATCAAACGACGTTGGAAACAATAGCGAACTGATTTTAATCCTGAACAAACAAATAGTGAGAATAAACTTGTTCAAGAACGTAAGTATACTGATATTACGAAGTGAATTTGCACGATCTTTTTCTTTTTACCTGAAAAATATTCAACACAGAGCTCAAAAAGTATTGAAACAAACATATGAATACTACGACAGGACATATACCTGGTAATAGTCAAACTTTATTTGATAACTGAACTTTTTTCGAACCAAATAGGTTTGATATCTGAATTTTTTCATGAAAGAACATTTTTCCATTGAGTAAACATGATCATGTTTAACCGAATACAATTTAATTTTTAGAAAGTTCTTGTTGGCGATTCTGGCACAGAAAGATTACCAGCGCAGATTGGAGAAACCTATCTGTATCGTAGTGCAGGATTATTCATGGTAGAGAGTCCTTTAGGATTTATTCTGGAATGTAATATGAAATTCCATACTTGTACCTTCAAAATTTCAGGTGAGATATGAGCAAAGACTCAACTAAATTCAGATGAAAATGGTTACCTATTCAATTATCTGTTACAAGACTATATCTGGCAAAAACAACTATCTTTCTAGTTAATAGTATAATGAAGAAAAAAAATTGATTGAATTGACTTGTTTCACTATACAATAGCTTTATGAGGCGTGTTCATTCTGTATGAAGACGCCTAAGATATGAACACGATTGAGGTAGCTATCATATAGTAGAATAGCGTGTACATATCACAATAGAATAGCTTCTCCAGGCATGTTCGTACTGTATGAACACGCCTGAGGCATGAACACGACTGAAGTAGCATAGTAGTAAAGCGTGTTCACATTACTATAGAATAGCTTCCTTAGGCGTATTTATACTGTATGAGGCATGAACACGACTGAAGTAACACGTCTGAGGTAGCTATTGTATGTGTTCATACTGTATGAACACGGCTAAGGCATGAAAACGTCTCAGGAAGCTATTTCATAGTAGTATAGTGTGTACTGAAGAATAGTTTCATCAAGCTTATTTATACTGTATGAACACGTCTGATGCATGAACACGTCTGGAGTATTGACAAGTCTGAGGTAGCTATTGTAAAGTACTATAGCGTATTTGTACTGTATGAACACGTGTGAAGTATGAAAACGACTTGTGTACCTATTTCATAGAAATATAGCGTGTTCACATCACTGAAGAATAGTTTCATTAGACCTATTCATACTGTACGATCACGTCTGAGGCATGAACACGACTGAAGTATGAACATGTCTAAGGTAGCTACTATGGCGTGTTCATACTGTATGAAGACGCCTGACGCATGAACACGTCTGAGGCAGCTATTGTATAGTACTATAGCGTGTTCATACTGTATAAACACGTCTGAGGCATGAACACGACTGATGTAGTTATTGTATAGTAGTATAGCGTGTACTATATACTATATAATAGAATGGTACACTGTAGAATAGCTTTTCCAGGCGTGTTCGTACTGTATGAATACGCCTGAGGCATGAATACGATTGAAATATGAACATGCATGAGATAGCTATTGTATGGCAGTGTTGTGTGTTAATTTTACTATAAAATAACTCACTTGGGGGTGTTCATACTGTATGAACATTGTATGGTAGTATAGCGTTTCACACTATGTGAACACGACTGAGGTAGCTATTGTATAGCAGTATGGTATGTTGCATAATACAATATAATAGCCTTCTCATGTGTTTGTGTGAAGGTTCCGTTGTCAGGTTTTATGATATTTTTTCGTGTACGGCAAAACATAATTGGAAAACAAAGACATTTCGTTAACTTTGAATATATTCATGAAACCGTCAATCACTTCCCGTTCCTGTTCGAATACAAAAAATGTGAACTTCATTAACAATCAAATTTGTTTTCATTAGGTTGATTTAATTATAGAAATCAGATAAAAATTATCATCATACGCAATTAAGGAAAAGAACTCTAATTATTTAATTGAAGTTTTCAGATTTTCCATTCCCCAGTTATACTTTCAGATAAAAAGAACGCAGGGTATGATAATGCGCAGCAGGTCGTTTGGGATTGACAATCAAAAAATAAATCCTGATAATCTGTTTCGGGAAATCACGTCAGATATTTGATTTAGTACTACAGTTTCTAGACAGACTCAATACTGATTTGAAAATACCCTGATTGGAATTTTTGGAAAAAATGATGAAAAGTTGTGTTATAAAAACTTTCAAAAACTTATGCTGTGCAGTGTATGCCAGAAGGGCAAAATCATCGTGAGAAATAATATATTTCACAAACGTCGATACGTGGAGAATACTGCGTTCAATGGGGAATGTTCCTCCTGACGAAAATCAAGTAGTTTTCATCTCTAAAACAACGCATTCAAAACTTATCATTTCAACCTTTTTCTTTAAAAAATTATTTAAATACTTAAAAAAGAGAAATGAAATAATGCATTCAACATTTAAAAGGAATTGGTTTCTATTTCACCATTTGGCAACATCGGTTATAGCTAATGAAGGACAATGAATCTGTTACCTATATGAGACAAACAAAGATGACATATTTCAGAGGCGTGCTGTTCTGTTTACTTATGTTCCGAGTTCCGAGACATTCTGTGACATATGACATTTTGTTCACCTAACCTATCTTCCTCTAGACAAATAAATAACAAAACAACTGTTGCTTAAGTGGCTTGTGGAGGTGGTATCGAACTATAATTTATATTTTGCCTTAATTGTTGATTTATAAAGATACTTTTTTTTTTTTGAAGTATAATATCTAGGTATGTATAAATCATTTCAACTTGATATAGGCGCTGTTGCCAATATGTGTATTAGAAACAAATCCCTTTAAAAATTGAAACCCAACATTTGAAACATCAATTTGAATACTTTCCGAAGTATTAATTTGAAAAACTCATGAATCAAACTCAACTTTACTTTGTTCAAACTTGCATTTGCTGTAATAACCGAAATTGAGGAACATTTTCCATTGTTCACGATTTTTTTCCACGTTTGGACTATCAAAAATATGAAATCACCTATGATTCGAAATAATGCCGGAATCTAAAAAATTTTGTTTTTTCTCTTCGTGAATTACTGACAAATGAATATGAATTTTTGTTTAGGTTGGTATTTTGGCAGAACAGCAGGACTTTGGGGCACATTCAACAACGAACCCTCAGACGACTTCCTGACATCAAAAAAAAATCGAGCCAGTCGCTCCGATCTGAGTATGTTCAGCGACAGCTGGGCATTGGAGGGGAGTTGCAAAAAAGAAGTTCCTGAAAAGAACGAGCCGAAGACCATTCCTGTGGAAGTGCGTGCTTTGTGCGAGGAGTTTTTCATTAGCAAAGTTTCTCAACTCAGCACATGCTTCTCGCGAATCCCAAAGGATAGTTTCCTGTCGATGTGCCTGAATAGCACAAGCGAACAAGAGGCCTGCATGTCCGCCGTCTCTTACATTAACCTGTGTTCATATGCTAATACGCCATTGAGGATACCAGACACGTGTGTAAAGTAAGTATTGATTACTGTATGGTGGATCAATGCCAGATTCATTCACTCTCGGCAAAAATTTGCATGGAAAATACCCCATTCAATACGTTCGAGGATAAGTATCAGATCAAAGAATCACAAGGCCTCGGGCGCAAATCAATTTCAGCGTTAATAAATTTAATGATGTTTCCAAATCTTATGCCGGCAATGTCTCTGGTGAAGCTCTTAGCGAATGAAATTCAATCGGAGGATGAAGTATTGGGTTGTTTCGTTTCGGAATCACTTTCGGAGGGCGAACTTGGTTGTGATAATGGATTAGGGCTCCAATAATAATATCGAAGGACTGCGCAAATGAACACATGGGGTTTTTGAACTAGGAATATATTTTTCATTTCGTTGTATGGACTCCCTAGTTGAACTGAAACTCTTTCTTAGATTTTTCCTTTTCAGCTCTACTGAATGAGTTGGTATTTTCAGTCAGTATCTAGTGGTATGAAACATTCCTTTCTTACAAATATCTATTCCACTTTCCCAATGGAGAGTACATTGAAATATGGAAAATACAAGGAATTCTTGAATAGAACTGGCCGATACTTGATGAAAATCTATATTAAAACTAATTAATACAGTTCATTGTATTATTTTCACTATAGAGGGTTTTGCAAAAACAGCGACACGTGTTTCGCTATACAATAGCTTTCTCAAGCGTAAATTGAAAGTTACTTCTGAATCACAGCCATTTTATACTCTATATCGTATTACTTACTAGTATGTCCACTTTCTAATGAATTAATCAACTTGAAAAGGTCAGGTATGAATTCAATAACTATATTAATACATTTATCGAAAGTACCGTGAATATACTTAACTATTTTTACCTGGAAATGAACAAATTCGATAACGGCGAATTATTCAATTCAGTTTAATCGTTCATGAGATATTGAGAGTTTTTGAATTCGTTAATTTCCATACTCTCCAACAGGTTAAGTTACAAACCTTTCTTTTCTGGAAATGGAGGGGCTTTTATTCATGGTTGAACTCATATCCATCTGTGATATAATTAGTGGCATATTTAAACAATAATCATGTACAGGTCCGTCTTGAAAGCAACTCTATAGTGACTGAAGTAAGATTTTCAATTTCTTTTTGAAATTGTATAAAGAGAAGTTTCAAAACTCCTTGGGAAGAGTGTTATAGAATTTAGGTGCAGAATATGAGAAAGAACGTTGGTACAGTGCAGTTGAGTATTTGGGAATAACTAGCATATTATTTTTTCTTGTGTTTATCCTATTGAGGTTTTGAACATAGTAAGTTTATTGAGGAGATACGTAGGTTTGCCAGACGTTATAACTTTGTGTGTCAAGGTAAGTAAATGGAGTTTTCGACAGTAATCTAATTTGAGCCATCCTGTTTCTTTGAATTCCATACTAATATGTTCAAATTTACGTATTCCATGAGAAAAACGTAAACAGGAATTTTGAATTTTTTGTAGTCTAGCTGCATCAGCCTACAGAAGTGCTGGACCATAAATACTGTCGCAATATGATAATTTAGATATCACCAGCGATTCACACAACTCAAGTTTCATTTTAATAGATAGCAAATCACGACTAGGATACAGCTGTTTCAGAATATTGAACGAGCTCTGACAGAGATAGCTGACGTGCTTGGTAAATCTTAGGTCAACATCAAACCAAATACCTAGGTTTTTGATTTCACTAACCAAGGTTAACGGTATACCTGCTAACCTGATTTGAAAATTTTGTGTTAGCTGTTCACGTTTTGATTTCATTCCGAGAAGCATAGCTACTGATTTCGAAGGGTTAAGTGTGAGATTATGTGCGGTTGAGACATTGTATAAAGATGTTAAGTCTTCGTCAATTTGAGAAGTTGCTGCAAGGATTGAATTGCTCGTAAAGTCTAGGTATAATTGAGTATCATCGGCATAGTGGTGGATAGTACAAAACTTTAGACACTCATGAAAATCCGAGATATAGATGGAAAAAAGAATAGGTCCCAAGATTGATCCTTGAAGCACTCCGTAATTCACTATTTGGGCATCTGACTTTAATGAACCTACTACTACCAACTGACATCGTTCCGATAAATAGTTACGAATAAGCCCACAAGCTTCCTGAGAAAAACCGAATGGAAGAGGGAGTGGTATGTAGTCAATAGCACATCTGTGTTCACAATATTTTTCAGTCGATGCAGCAAAAATAGTTGGCTAGACAGTTTATTGCATATATGGTTTATATGGCTATTCCACTTTAATTCATCATCGAGTTGTATCCTCATCAGAAGTTCGACGGTGGATCCATTCGAAATGTTCTTATTAGAGTTATCATTTTGAGTTTATTTGTCGTAAACCACAGTTCTGCTCTAGAGGCAGTATTCGCCATAAGTTCATTGAGAACAAGTCGACTATAATGCGAATTTATTATTGAAGTATCGTCAGCAAATGCAATACACATATCCGGAAACAAGTGATGAAATATATCATTAATGCAAATGGTGAACAACAATGGCCCAAGTACGGATCCCTGTGGCACGCCATGATCAGTACGAGTCCGTAGCGAAGTAGTTCTGTTGACATATACCACTTGTTGACGGTTTTTCGAATAGGACTTTACGAGATTCAGTGGGGTTCCTCTTACCCCATAGTGCTCGAGCTTTGCCAGCAGCAGCTCATGTGAGACACACTCAAACGCCTTAGATAAGTCACAGAGTGTGAGACTTGTTGACTTCCCAGTCTCAAGGCCTCAACTATTCCTCCCACGACTCTGTTTACCGTTTGGACCGTGGAACAGTTCGTCCGAAATCCATATTGACAACAGGCAGATGACGCTGTACGTAATCTCAATGATATAATTCAAACTCACTTAACATGTAATTCTTCATTTAAAAAAAGTATTTTTTTCATTAATACGGGCGTCTGCTGCTTTCCTTGGGCTTGGTAGCTGATTTTCAGGCTTTCTCTACGGAATCGGAAAATATCAATGGTCATTTTCCCAAACAATATACGGCTGATTGATCCCAAAGTCAAGATGAAATAAATATAGTTTGAAAAGACTATAAAACACGCATTCATAGCATACGAAACTAAAAAATGAAAAATAAATATAGTTTAAGAAACGCTTTAGAAGCGTGTTTTTTATTTTTTTTCAACTGTATTTATTGTATTGCTTCATGCGGGCTTTGAACGTTCTTCCAGTTTGACCTATATAAAACATCGAACATGACACACATGATAATTCATACACTCCCGATTTTTCGAAAACTGAACTTTGAACTTCTTGATGTGCATGCCTTAGTTGTTGTTGATTTGAAAGCAATATTCACACCTTTGTTGTGCATAAAATCTGAAATAATTGTAGTGGGTTGGCCTAAGTAGGTTAAGGTTCTATAACTTTCATCCTCTTCTCTTTGAATTGGGTAAACTTCCTTCAAAGCTTGGCTGTATAACTTTTTTGATAATAAAGAATGTATCAGACTGCTATCGTAAGCATTGTTGACGACTATTTGTTTTATTCTGTTCAGTTCTTTATTGAAATTCGCCTCTGACAAGGGCATATTAATCAGTCTGTGGATCATACTGTTGAAAGCTGCTACTTTGTGCTGATACGGGTGGGTGGACGAATTATGAATGATAATGTGTATGTGCCGGTTTACGATAAATTGAAAAATCATGTGTATTGTTTACTTTTGTTATTTTCAAATCGTCCTTTTCCATCTACATTGTGAATATGATAGAAGGGTGGAGAGAACTGATGAAATTCACAAACTCAGTCAACTGTCTGTTCGTTCTTGCTAAACATACCAGGATGTCATCCACACCTATACCAATATAGTCAATAATGTCATCTATACCAATAAACGGAACTTCTTATCAGTGGGTAACTGTGTATTTTTCTCTCCAAATCGTCCATGAAGAGGACTAAGTGGGTTTTCCATCATTTGACATTTGCAGGATGAGTAAAAAAATCATTGAATTGGAAGTAATTCTGTGACAAACAAACCGTAAGCAAGTCTAATGTTTTCTTTTTCCCTGCCGGATTGACAGACTTTTCAAACAAAATTCAATTTGAAGAATTCATACCATTTAATCAATGAAATTCAGATATTACACTCCCGGATAGTGCCAAATTGATATCATTCGATGTGAAGAATCTATTTCCTCCGAATGAAACGATTACTCTTGTAGAAAATCTTTTGGACGATTTTTCGATGCTTTCAAAAAGTCAGGAGACAGCGAAATGTGACATGAGAACTAAGAACAGTGACAATGGTCCCACTCCAAATAGATCATTGTGTACCTCTCTATGAATCGCTTTGTTGAAACTGACGGAAACTTCCACGAAAGAATCATTTATTCAATAAAACTCTTCATTGTGTGATTTTCACGAAGCAGTTTCACAAAAACGCAATACTTGTTTCACTACACAATAGCTCCACCAGGTGTGTCTATATAAAGTATAGATAGCCTGCTTTGGATTGGTTGGTATGTCATTTCAAAAGATTTGACAATCAACTCCAACTGTTTCAGTTGATAATTTTGTACTTCATTATCAACAGAACGATAGAAGAGGTGGATCAGTCAGCAGAAAAGATTGAAAGAAGTATGAGAAAGCACTGATGGAAAACATGGTTTTCATGTGGTTGCAACTTTCCTGCTCGTTTGAATCTTGTTAATGATATCAGTTAGTGAAAACTGAGATGTGATTGAAAATGTGGAACTTCTATCCTCAGAAAATTCACCAAAAGGATTATCAGCCTCCAAACACCATATTATATTCTACTTTGATCATTAGCAACCCAGTTAAAGTCCCACTCAACAACTAAAATGAAACTGAATTCACGCTTTCCGCACTATATCTTCTCAGAATGGAGTTCACAACATTAAAATCTAATAGTCGGTAATGTTAGCCGAGATTTGGAACTTTTTACATCTTTGCAATTAGTTTTTTCCTCTTCTAGGTGTAATCTACTAAATGGGTCGGAGAAGCAAGAGGGTAACATCACTCGATTACATGGAAGCGATGTGCCGCGTAGCGCCGATATAGTTTTTATCATTGAGGCCAAGGGCTGCAATCGGAACCTCAAAAAGTCAAAGCATTTCGAAATGGTGATAGAATCATTGGAGAAGGAGTTGACAGATCTGAACATTAGGAATAATAAGTGAGTATCGAGTATTTCAAGACGCAACATTGAAATGAGATAAATCTAGGGTGGCCTCAACGTAACCATAAAAAAAACTTCCAGATAGAAGACCTATCCATGTGTCATGTGATTCATGGGTTCTTGATTCATTGCCGTTTTTAACTCGCTTTTATTAGCTACACCTGTATGTATGTATATATGTATGTATGTATGTTTGTTTGTTTGCTTGTAACTCTCAAGCTCGAGATCTGTATTGACAAAATTATTGACATTATTACTCGATCTATTCGCGGGCAGATGGCGCTGTACGTAACCTCCTTGATATATTGACATTATTGCTTGATCTACTCGCGGGCAGATGGTGCTGTAGGTAACCTCCTTGATATAATTCGAACTTACTTTACATGTATTTTTTCCATTAACACGCGCGCCTGCTGCCTTATTTGTAACCCTCCTTTGCGCGTCTGCTGCCTTGGGCTTGGTAGCTGATTTTCAGGCTCCCTCTCCGGAATCGGAAAATATCATTGGTCATTTTTCTGAACAATATAAGGCTGATTGATCCCAAAGTTTAGATAAAATAAAAAATATAGTTCAAAAATACTAATAAACACGCTTTTATAGCATACGAAACTGAAAAATGAAAAAGTAATACAGTGCATTTTTTGTTGAATGGGTGGGGTGAAAATAATACTTCACAATCTACACAGCACTAACATTGAATGCTGACAGCTGTTCCGACTCACCGTGTCATCTTCTAAGCGAGTTATAAACTAACCTAAGTATATGATGTCATGTACTTGAAAACCGAAAAACTTTAAATTCAATTTATAAATAATTCTGAGTCAGCACGGAACAAATTGAAAAATGTAGGGTGTACAAGCCCAAGTGGGACGACTGCAATGCCTTATATATAGGCAAGACTGGCCGCAGTTTCAACCAGAGATTCGATGAGCATTCAAGAAGTTACAGATTGAATAAACAATCATCTCATAGGAAACATTGAGAATTTCACTTAAACTCCGGAAAATCTACACATTCAACCAAAAAATCTAGAATCAAATATATTGTCAAATATGGAAAATATTCATGAAATAATTGAAATTCATTTAAGCAAATACATAAATCAAATGATGTTCCAATCTCAACTTCAATATTCTAAAACAAACACTCAGTATTCAGAATTCCATCTTTCAATATTCCAAGTTCATAGACATCAAAACTGATACGATCACAGGATATAGAAATATAAAACAATCTTCAAATACGAAACCTTTGCACAAATTGCATACTGAGCAATTTACCTTAGTAAAGTGACCGGATCAAAGTTGCAATGTCAGCGTATAGATCTTCATAAATATTGAGGGAAGTCAAGATCATGAACAGACAGTATTGAGAAATTCATTCAGTATCTTTTGATCTTCAGAAAAGGTTTCAATAATGCAGCACATCTCCTTTTCTTCGATCCTGCTGGGTGGCAGTTTTTGGTGATTTATTGCATTTTTTGAATTACATTTTAGTGTGAGTTTATTCCCTGAAGTATTTTCCCTGTTTCGTTACAATAAATATTTAATTAGTTTTCAAATGAGTTCCTTCATCATTTGGATGAATGATGGATGGGTGAAACAGCTCATTGAATCCTTTCGTTAAGAAGCCAAGCGAGTACTGAGTTGAGACAATATCAATAATGTTATTAGTTATTTTCCAAATGCCCCTTGATACCTCTCTCTATTTAAGGAGATGACATCATATACCTGTAGTCATTGCAGTCGTCGCACTTGAGTTTGTAGACCTCAGATTTCTTCAATTTGTCCCGTGCTGACTCAGAATCATTTATAAATGGGATTGAATTCAAGTCATATACAGCAAGCGCCAAACGTGATGACGAGCCCACCGCCATGCGCACAAACTCATTTTCATAACCCCCACTACAGCTCTTGTGAGACATACAAATGCTCTGTACAGAAGGTCATCGTTACTTGTCCTCCAATGCTGTTGGCGTTTGGCATTGTCTCAATAACATATGTTGTTTCTAAAAACATTTCATCACCCAACAAAAAACCAATCTTCAAAAGTGAATCATTATATAACATTTCAATGAACTGTAATACTACCTATAATACTGAATAGAATATGAGAAGAAATTACAAAGAAGTCATGTTCCAGTTGCCATCCTAATTGAAACTGATTATAGGTACGACACTGGCCAGCAGGGGGCTTATCGTAATCCAATAGTAATTCAGTTGGGAGAGTCTATACCTGCGCGATCGCTCGCCATCACATTTGGCGCTTGCTGTACTTAGGTTAGTTTATAACTCACTCAGAAGATGTGCAGTGTGTAGAAATAGCTGTTAGCATTGAATGTTAGTGTTTTGTGAACTGTCAAGTATTATTTTCAACCTACCCATTCAATTGAAATGAATTTACACATATTAGAAGCTGAAAGTGTAGAACAATACATTTTTTGTTCTTCTTGTGCCTAAATCAGATGAAAAATGTCTTACATGACTAAAAAGCATAACAGTGTAATCAACAAAAACATTTGGATACTAACATTTATCAGTTTTGTACAGAAGTGCCTGCATAGTTCATGGTAATTAAATCGTTTGCTAACGAGTAACTGAGAATCAAAATCTTTGAAATGGCAAAGAGGGTGGTTGAAATATCGATAACTCTAGCTTTTTTGAGAAAAATAGATCATATTTTGAAAATCTGTAACAATTTATTGATAGATGATTGAAAGAAACGACAGCATTCGTAGAAGTCATTCGATCAAAATTATGATAAATTTATTGATATTGATGAAATTTTTGTACTTCTCTGTAATGACAGGATTAATTTCATTATGTGCAAGAAAGTATAACCCATGTAACAAATGAAATTTAAAAAAATTTCTCTCCAAAAAAAGTTAGGCAGAATGATAAATTGAAACATTCTGGTTGAAACTCCTCATAGAAACATTGAAAAATTCGTAACTCGAAACTCAACAAAAATTTTATTATATGTATAGAAATGATTCTGATAGGTCTTCAGGAGTCCTATTTGACAAAAAGCTCTTCGTTTAGGCCACCATTTATATTTTCAATTCTCTTTTCGAACGGTTCAACAAACTATAGTCAATGTTAATGTTTGTGCAGAAGTTGAGTAGGCAATTATTTGTGAATGTCTAGCTAAACAATCTCAAAGTTGTGGGTATAACATACTTCAGCAAAGTAGTGCTGTGTTTTTCAAAATATAAATATTGATTTCCACAACTTCAACAAATCCTTCAAAATTTATGATGAACCGTAAAATTGATTGAATATTCCGTACTTCGGTTTTTACTACAGGTTAGATTATCCGATGTTTTATAAAATACATAAAAACGGATTGAAACTCGGATAACTATATAGTATAATCCCCTGCATAAAATTTTTCACATAAATATAGGCCTGTTATTGGAAATGACGTGAAAGATTTCACAACGGTTCTGCAATTTAAACATTTGGTAACGTGTCAAATACCTGAGGAAGATTCGGTAGCAGCTCTCTAAGACATCTCTGCCAGGTATCAGTTCCACTAGTTGCGTTTTCCCCATCTTCTTCATGGCACCTATTTCAACAAACTTATGTCACTGTACTAGTTTCTATCCTTGCTGGATATATATCATATGCTTCTGAACACGATTTGGGTTGTCCGTATATTGTTTGCCTCTTATGATTCGTAGCCCCACATTCAGGTGCCCTCTTGATGGACACTGTCCAGTGAGTACCTATATAATCCGTCTAATGCGATCCGTGCTTTGTTGAAGGAGTTTTTTGGTTCTTTTCTCGAAAGGTCCCTCTATGAAGATTTTTCCGTGTGTGATCCCGGGTGTGTTTTTCCAGTTCTCTCTGTTTATTTGTTCCTTTGAGACGTATTTTCTGATCTAGTTCCGTATCAGAGACTTTAGTACCCCTCAACTAATTCAGGGCCTATATATCGGGTTGATGAGCCATGTCTGGCATAACAATTAGCTCTTTCATTGCCTTAAATGCCTTAGTGTTCCAGTACTGAGTGTATAATGGACATATTCCTCTCCGCTCCTAGCTCTTCACGGTGTTCTTAGACCAGTTTCTATGTTAGCGGTTACTTGCAGATTTCTGTTGTATTAACCATACATCATGACTTCGCTCTATTTCTGGGAATTTCAAAAAAATCGAACTCATAGGTTGGCTTACATTCAATAGTGAATACGCAAAATTTTGTGTTGGAATCCTCAAATGAGAGAATGATAATTGTTCTCACTGTTTGCAAGTCTGGAAAGGCAGTTCTGGGCATATTTATTTACCATTTTGAAGGTTCTTCGAATCCCAATGAATATCAAAAATCGAATGTTCATTATGGGCGATTTCAATCTCGATTTTATACATGGATGATATCAATACAGAGGGATATAATACAAAGGGTTCTCTAATCGATAATGTTGCACAAGTGATCAAGAAACTGTGGTTGGCAGATTATTTGAGTAAATTGGTGAATACTTTTTCGATAAAGAATAGAATCCAAAGATGTGAATTTCGAATCAAGCGCAGCAAGTTTTTTTTTCCGATAGCCTTCAGTAGGTTATAGACTCACCGAGGAACCTGAGTTACCCTTGACTGAAATTGAGGAAAAAATAAATGATAGTCGAAAAGCGCAACAGCACTGGTTGATACATTTGAGGATAAATAACACCAACATTGTTGAGTATTTCGTCGATTAGTTGGAATCTACATTGAAGTGTCCATACTGTGATACTTCTGTGACCTCCAGTCTCTTCTGAGATTTGTATCGTCCGAAATGGAGACGAAAAACTAACGTGTTCGAAGTATAAAGAAGAAAGGAAAGCACGAGAAATCTTCCATTACGTGAGTTTCCACGAATTTCAGTAATACATTTAAAGAGATCTTCTTTAGTAGACATATTTAGAGGCGAACTTCAAATATGAACGTGAGAACCAGATCGATTGGAAACCTTTTTGTTGAAATCTCTATGCACTATCAAATCAAAATTAGACAACCCACAATGGACATTACACAGTAGATAAATGTCTCCGAACCGGATATAATAATGTCAGGTCAGACAATTCCACTTTCTGCTTCAATAAGTTTATCGGGGGTTAAAATGGTCACCAATATGTCTTGGCACAACCATGTCGCTGGAATTGCAAAAGCCGCATCTCAAAAACTTGTAACACTGTTCCGAACCAGAAAACTGTACACACCTCAGCAACGTTTGATGCTTTATAAAGCTCAGATCAAACCTTATTTGGAGTATTGTTCTCATTTATGGAGCTCCGTCCCTAAGCATATGCTGAAGCTGCTCGATTCTATCCAGAGAATATCCATTCGCCTGATTGGAGAAGCTAACATCACTTGCAACCTTGATAGTCTGGAACATCGAAGAAAGGTTGGAGATTTGTCTCTCATCTATATATACTTTCACGGGAAGTGTTCGAGTGATTTGGCACATTTGATTCCACCAAGAGCGGTACATATAAGCGACGGACTGTACCATCTCCAGCGATTGAAATCCAATATGAATCACTACTTTCGAGCAGGCACCGCTCTTAGAGCGCCTTAAAGATTTTCCTGTAGTGCTTGGTTTTATCCTTTGTAAAAAAAAATCTGATGATGACGGCTCCCTGAAGTGTGTTTTCGAGACACTCATCAGGCTTAAGTGGTTCAGCCTAGCATCACTGACGAGGCCTTGGCCGTCCAAAACAGCGTTATCTAGTGTTGACTCATGAAGTTCATCTATTTATTTGGAGCTGATTAATATAATCCGGTCAATCTAGACATTGAAAGGTACATAAATTTACAACAAGCTGCAGACGCGTGTAATTGTTTGGTCTTCTTCTTCTTCATGATCTTCTTCTTCTTGATGTTCATCCTGGGTGTAGGTAAACTGCGTCAAGAGTGATGTATCGCATGTTTCCTCGTTGGTATCAAATGAATCCTTCACTATTGTTGATCCAGCATTAGAACATGACTGGCCTTGATGATGTGTACATGCCAGAAAACACAACAGTCCAACTTTTTTACAACCACATTTAGCGCTGCAGCCCTTTTCACAGCTGTAAACAGTTGTGTTCAGCAGTTTTTCCGGCGCAGATGGGAGTAAAGCCTGAATAGGTTCTAATGCATTGTCGACCAACTTCCAACCCCAGTTTTTTGTGTCTAGCTAATAACCAAGCTACACATGAACTTGGTAATATACCCGGAAACGATGTTGATGAGCAGCAACTGAGGTTGGTAGAAGACAAGCTAGTTACACCTGTTTCTTATTTTTAATGTTTTTTACGAAACATGCATACCGATACTTATCTAAGCAGGTGGTTTTTTCGAAGCAGTTTCTTCTTTCTATGTACAAGAAAGAAGAAACTGAATCCCGTTGGTGATAATTTCTTGTTGAGTCGAATTACTTCTTTTGAAAACTTCGGCACATTGAACTAAATCTTGTTTTTCAAACATTTTAAAGACTGTTGCTTTACCCCTCCTGTAAAATGCAGACGTCGTATCACAGCCAGTTATTGTGTGTAAAAATAGTACATGATTTTGACTCTTTGCAAAGCAGATAACTTTTTTGACGAATATATTTTGATTTGACTTTGAGCTTTTCCTGGCTTTAGAAAGAAAGTAGTATTTTCAGGTGGAGTTCGAGCAGTGAGAAGTACGAGTAAGTCTACATCTCCACCAACAACAATAGTTGTATTAGTCAAATTAAATTGCTCTATAGCTGTTTCAATAATCAGTACGTCGGCATCGTTATTAGCCTGTTCAACCAATATATTTTCGCCAATAAGCTTATTCTTCAACATTGAAATGAACCGAGATTTGTTGTGAGTATTTGCAAGAAATTTCTGTTGACTGGTAGGAACTGTCATAAGTTTATCAATTTGAATATCGGCATACTTATGCATATAATGACGATTACAACTTTTTGACTCGTCGTACCTCAGAAACGGTGGCTCTAAGAAACAACGTTTTTTGTAGAGAATTTTATGATCTACAATTTTTATCTGAGGTTATTTTATGATAAAACTCACCGTTTTCCTGAAAATCGCGAAAAACCAATTTTTTTCGAGATTTTTGACCTTCGACCTTGAATAATTTTTTTTCTAGGCATCGCAATCATTCGGAATTTCAAAATCTCATTTTCAACTATGTTTTGAACAATTACACGCATTTGCAGCTTGTTGTTAATTTATGTACCTTCACTCTTATTTTTTAGTCTAGTTTGACCGGACAAATATTTTCTTTTGTGATTTTTTCAAACTGACTCTTCAAATACATGAAAAAAAATGCTTTTCCAGATATGCGGTGGTTGTTTTCGGAGGAGACGGTGTGTACGAGGAGCCAAGAAGTATTATTGTTGATGGAAACACATTTGCCGATTCCAAGTCTATCCTGAGCTATTTCGACAATATCCCTGCAGGTAGTCCTAATTCGAACGTGATATCATTTTCTCTAAACTCAAAACGAATTTCAGGAAACGGTAGCAGCGATATATTCAACGGAATCATGTTTGCGTACAATCTCATATTTAGACCCGGAGTTTCAAGAAATTTTGTTTTGGTGCCTTGTTCTGAATGTAACAAGTACAACATGCTAGTAAGTATCTTTAATTAATCTATGCAAAACTTTCATTACCGAACTCTGCTTTACATCTCACAATTAGAACTGTTGAAATATGTACATTTGAATAGTTGTTACCCATTAAATAAGATTTAACAAGAAGCGGGAATTAATTTTCAGGCTCGGAGGATAACTCTGTTTCCATTTCACTGGGGAAAAATACTGTCCTTGTTGAGATTGTGATGATCAATGATGGAGATAGGAATTGAAATGGGTATATTTTCAAGAGAGATTGATTTTAAAAGATACGAATATTCACTTAATATTGGTTGAAGAGAATAACTTTTAATTGAATAGAACTGGCCGATACTTTATGAAAATCCATATTAAAAAACTAATCAATATAGTTTATTGTATGATTTTCACTTTAAGGGTTTTACAAAAACCGCGACACGTGTTTCGCTATACAATAGCTTCTTCAAGCATAAACTGAGTGTATGCTTGAAGAAGCTATCGTGTAGCAAAACACGTGTCGCGGTTTTTGTAAAACCCTTATAGTGAAAATCATACAATAAACTGTATTGATTAGTTTTTTAGAATAACTTTTCTCTAATTTCTACAAACATTATTATTTGTCACAGCGGTTTCGGTCCATTAAATCATTTTCAAGTTTACTTGAAATGGGATAAAGAGCGTATGTTGAAGAAAATAACTTTTGTTTATTTTCCACTGATATTTTCATTTGTTACGATCGAAACCGGTCGTGACAAATACAAATCTCAGTAGAAATTAGACAAAAATCATTTTCTTTATATATTCAATATGAATTTCTACAAAATAAATAGGTCATCAATCGAACAAGTTACTATTCACTAAAATCGATAGTTTTATGTATGTTTGCTGAGAGGCACCACCATTCTGAATGAATAATAAATTCGATAAATATTAACAAAGCAATAACAAACGAATAAAATAACTAGTTTTGAATTGTTTATCGATGCTTCAGAAGACCAGTTTTTCCAAATGATTTTTTCAACGTAATCAGTATTTGGAGTAATGGAATATTACATAAAAATCACTTCATGTAACGGCAAATAATTCAATTTCGAAAGTGAATTGTAAAACAGAAGAAATAACTTTAAGGAAATGAAATGCAGTGAAAACTGTAGGAAATCCTCCCAGGAAGGGCTTATCACCTCGCTCCTCCCTAATAAGGAAAACAAAGCAGTAGGTATATCTACTGAACTTCTGAATCGCCCATTGAAATATCTTTATTGAATCGATAGAAATGAGTTGTTGGTAAAATAAGCTTTCCACTAGAAAGAAGGAAGAAATCAATAACAAACCTATTCGCGAATGTAACTAATCATGTATTCATTCTGGAAGTAATTACAGAAAATAGTTATGAATATTACCTTTCTCTCCATATTCCATTCATAGACCTCAAACAGGAAATCAGTTGGATCAATACAGATGAATCGAAAAGAGAACATGTTCATGAGAGATTGGCTTTTAGAAAAAAAACGGTTTATAATTTCCCATCTGCGAACGTAAATGTGGAAATCGACTTAAAAATGAGCTCTCTGCAGAAAATGTGGAAGAAAAACTTCTGTCGGAACAACTATTCCCATATAAACAGTGAACTGAATAGACTTGAGCGCAAACGTTTGCTAACCTACTCATGGGGGGTTTGTTCCTCCACTTGAAACAGATTCTGCTTACGCCGCTCAAGAATTTGGTGCAAGGTACTCCGCTCTTGAGGAGACGACTCAGTCGTTTCCTGGCTGCACCACCAAATCATTTTTTTGGGTCCAGTTATTGGATCAGGAGTTGGAGAGTTGAGAAGCTCTCGCTCCTTATCTTAATTTACAGGGAAGTCAGTTGGAGTCATAAACCCGTCATCCATCTCCTCTGTGGACTTACTTCTGATCTAAATTTACAGGGAGGTCATTTGGAGTCGTAAGCTCGACATCCATCTCCTCTGTAGACTCAGCTTTAGAAAGAATTTTTGAGTTCACTCTGTCCATAAAAATCCCACGAGTAGCTAGGGAAAGAAGGTCAATCACGGCAGAGCCCCGCATTACCGTTACAAGGCGATGCTACGACGTGAGGGCGCCTGGTATCTCGAAGGTTCCGTAGAGACAGCTGATAGGCTCAGTGTCATTCATCCTCTCGGCACGGATACATACACTTTAGGATCAAGCCATCGTTGGAATGCTATTCAGTGAGGGAATAACAGAACCGCAACTGATTCTGTCATTCCCGTATCCAGCGGGGCTACGTGGAAGCAGGCATCCGATTGCCGGTTTGCTCAACCCTCACAAGCCCCAAGTCAATGCACTCGCCAAAAACAACATGCACAGTGGTTCAGGCAGTGAAAGATGAAGGACAGCCAACCCGCCAATTGAGAGAGATAATGTTCATAGAAACGCTATACAACGTAATATATGAAAGAGTACTGATATAAAATTCCACCAACGTGAAACACGTGTCTCCAACTCCCCATCAGCACATTTCAGAAAATGTTCGAAGGAGGGGAACTAGAAAGTCAACAACTGATAATTCATCATACTGAGTGAAAGACAATTGAATATCGTCAACAGATCCAATTATTTAGTGCTTAAAATTATTCTTTAGTGATACATTTTTTATATAATTGGTTTGTGTACTAATTATTTATTGGTGATGATCCAAAACATTATATATAATTTTGTTTTCTGCATCTATTGTAACAAAATCGTTAATAATGATGAGTTTTGTAGAAGAATTTCCATATTTATACAAAAAAATGTGGAAATCTCCCAAAAAAGGAAGGAAACAATCATTTTAAAAAAGTTACTATATTAAAAGTTGTGTAGATCATTCAAAAAAGTAACTTTCAGACACAAACTGAAAGAAAAGCCGTCTCGAAACAGTTACTTCCATATTAACATTGAATTACAAGAAAGGAAGATACTTTCGAAACAAATATTTCCACATGAACACTGTTTTATACAAAAAACATTCTTCGTTATTCATTTTGTATTCCAAACATTCGTTATGGAATCAAATAAAATATCATTCACAGGATTTCTTCACAGTATACTAAATGGAAGCTAAAAACTTCACTTACATGGAACACTGTCATCCTCACTGGTAGACATCCAATGTTTCGTCGTAAGACACTTACTTTATTGACTCTTCAGTACCAAATCTGGATAACATTATAAAAAACACCCAATTCATTCATGAAATCCCGACTTCGTCGCGAATGAGTTAATCTACTCATGTCATCGATGACAGAACATTATGTCATTTATTCGCTTATTTGAATCAATCCTAGCCGAAGGAGTCTTGTTTCGATTGAAAGCGGTATATTTTTAGAAGAGAACAATGAAATGAAAGAAAGGTTTTAGCTTTCCACTTCTTCTGCTTTATACAAAAAAATGTGGTAATCTTTCAGAGGAAGGAAAGAAGCAAACAATTTCAAAATGATACCTCTATATGAAGATGTGTAGATCATGCAGAAAAGTATGTTTCAGACACAAAGTGAAAAAAAACCCTCTCGAAACGTCTATTTTCAGAGAAACATTGAGTTAGTTCCGAAACAAACCACTTTTCTTTATTCAGTTCGTATTCTAAACATTCGTTATGGAATTGAATCAGATACCATTCACAGGATTGCTACACAAAACAGTGAATAAAAGAGGTAAAAGTTCATTTACGTGGAACACTGTCATTCTCGCTGGTAGACATCCGTTGTTTCGCCGTGAGACACTTGCCTTATTGGCTCTCCAGTACCAAAACTAAATAACATTATTAGAAAAAACACCCAATTTATTCATGAAATCTTGACTTCATCACGAATGTGTTAATCTACTCATGCCATCGATAATGACATTCATTCGCTTATTTGAATGAATCCCAGCCGAAGGAATTTTGTTTCGATTGAAAGGGGTATATTAATGAAGATAATACTTTTTGGGTTACATTGAAGATAAATAAGGAACTTCTGATGGGAGAAGGGGGTTGTTGTCTTGATTTTCGTTTTCATAAAGCGTACTCATAGAAATTTATGTTGAAGCAATTATTTGTTATTATTCTCTGTATCGTGTTTTCATGTTTTGTGTCGAGGAATTGGTTAAAACTTCATCAAAATCCATGACTTATTCAAGTTGAACTTCATTGTTAGATTTTCACTGGAATATTTACAAAAATACAACACGTGTTTCACTTTATGGTAGTTTTCTCAAGCGTTTTCCCAACTGAATTTTCTCAGATTTTGTTCAAGTTCTATAAAATATTGAATTGAAGGTTGATAAAACATAATAAAAAGAATATGCGATGAGGTGTTACTTGAGTCTGTAACTATAAAAATATGTTCTAGAATTTCTTTTCTAATACGACAAAAGATACTTGGATGTTGAGATTTTGAAATATATAGTGTCATCTCCAAAGTATGCACTATATGGGAAACTTATTCATTAAGGGTTTGTCTACAAACAAATATTCCTGATGAAAGTTTGTGCATCCCCTAAAACTGAACATGCACCAACGAAATGCAGTAAAACACACGTAAATTACGAGGAGCCTTCAAATATTTGATTTTGAGACAGGAGTAAAGTACTTACTCTTATTTTGAAAAATCTCGGGAAATATTCTATCCTGTATATTTACTGTTTATTTTATTGTTTGTTAGTGAATAAACATCATTATCTTCTGAAAAAATGCATGGAAGAAATAGTCTACCCCCTGACATATCTGATAAATGTTTCCATGGAACGGGAAATGTTCCCTGAGAAATTAAAAGTTGCGTAGTAACAGCCTTGAATAACAATCTGCAAATTTGTGGTTTGTTCATCGATTTTGACTGTGTGGAGCACTATGTACTAATCCAGAAAATGCATCGCTATGGGGTTCGTGGAGTTGCCCAAGATTGGATGAGGTCATATCTAGAGAACAGGTCACAAACAGTGATAATTCAAGGTGTTCACAGTCAGTCCTTGGCCTGCAAGCAGGGAGTTTAACAGGGGTCTATACTTGGACCACTGCTTCTTCTTATTCATGCGAAAGACTCGATACAATACCTAAATAGTTTTTCAAAGGTACATATAGTTGCATATGCCGACGATACAAATGTTCTGGTCACTGATTGTAATACATCAGCACTTGCACAAACAACAAAATCCATATATGAGAAAATAATGAAATGGGCTGGAAAAAATCATTCAGCACTAAATATCAGCAAAACAGCATCAGTCAAATTCACATTGCAGAACACCACCGAAACTCTCAAAATATATGAAGATAGCCAACTTGAGGTGACATCCAAACCAGAAAAAAAATGCTAGGTCTAATTC